CTGGTGCAACGTGATTAGCTATCATCGAGGCAAGAAATTTTTCTGCGGAAAAAGATACACGGTTCACGCTAAATCATAACTCATAAAGCTACAATGAAAAGTGAATCACGTTTATTCATATGCAGTTATATCGAAATAATATATGTCGTAAAATAATATTTCACACACAGAAACTTGTATATATATTTTTCACACAAGTATTATAATGCGATAAATAGGATGTTTGTAAGAAACAAAAATGTTAAATGGATTATAGTAAGCATTTATCAAATGTATCAGAAAAAGATAGAGAGAATAATTATTTCTAGAAAAAAATTAATATTTAAATTTTAATATATATATTTTTAACGTTATTTTTTATCAGTAATAAGATTGGAAGAAATTTGATAATTCTATAAAATATTTGATACCAGTGTATGCATTCTAAATATAAGAAAGACGAGATGATGATTACGATTCTACAATACATTCAAAGATGAAGCAGCGATAATATTCGTATCGCGGTCGAAATACAAGATGAACCTATTGCGAATCGTACGCTAGTTCCCCCTGTGGTATTAAATATACCGGGCGTATAATATCACAGTTAGATATCACAAAAGTGAGAGGAATGCTGGGATAATTGGAAAGATTACACTGCGAACGATGCGTTATGTATTTTACTGGTGCGGCCGAGGTCTTAGCTTAGCGACGAATTATCGGCTGTTTGTTCTAATATCCATTGCACGATTTTCAGATATAGTTAAGATAGTCAGTATCTGGGTTCCTCTCACGAGTAACATGAGAGCCTGGTTCTTCCGGTAATTTAAGAGCAACTTGAATGCACGCAAGTTTGGCAACGTCAGAACATAAGGATTTTCACAAATACATACATGTACAAAAGGAAACGGTTTTACTAAAGTATTTAAAAAATATACAGATCAGAAAATAATTTTATTGGACTATCAAAATAATTATGTTCAAATATTTTTTGCAGAATTGTTCATCATGTTTGAGTTCCCTATATAATTATTTTTAACTAAATTATTTTTAAATCTGTATTTAACTAAATTGTGTTAGAAACTTCAGCATAATCATTCATTCCGTGTATCAAGCATTCTAAGATCAAGTTCAAAAATATGAAAGTGTAAGATCTGAAAAAAGCCTGATTGGAAGTCTGACCGTGAAAATATGAAATTATGAAACTTGAAAAACGCAAAATTTTTTAAATTGAAATTTAACTGGAGGAGATTGAAATTTAGATGGATAGAACGTGCAGGTAAACGTCCGTATAATCATATTCCAATGTAAAAAGTTTTAATCACACAACAGTCGACAGCTTTCGGATTTACTGAAGTTGAACGTGAGTTATAGTCAACGCAACCTGATAACAAAAATGCCGAGATGAAAACGATACGTTGCTCGTAAATGTTGCAGTCGTGATAAACAGCGCGTTGTCCAGGATTGATTGATCCTGGCGCACGCAGTGGAGTTTCGCGGAGATTTACCGAGAGTAAAGGGGACCGATTTAAAAGTTTCGTTCACAATGGGACCTCACGCGTTGAACGTGATATATTAGTCTGATACAGAGGAGTTAGAGAACTGTCCGCTGATGGTGTATTTAATGATCCCCGCTTCTTCTTCGATACGGAATCGACTTCCTGCACCACTGCCACACTAATCCACATCGATATCGATCTTCTAAGATCCTGTTTCCCAACAGCATTCCTTAGGTTCCTTTTCTTGTTAAACTAACTGAATATTTGAAATATTTCTATTCACTTCGACTATCAAGTTCAGCAAGAACTAAAAATTGTACAAAAATGTCGGAACAATCTAAAACCGAAAAATTTAACAAGCAAAAATCATATTAATTAATCCATCTGTGTATTATATATATAAAAATCAGTAATAAATTTTACATAAAAAAATACACGTAAAATATAGAGCTAATATTGCAAAAAATTGTTACATTTAAATATAAAATCTTTATCGAAATATTTTTTAAGAATCTAACAATGTTAGCAGATGAAGAAGCATTAAAAATATAATTTTATGCGCGTACATATACAAATCGCCAGCATCGCTTCCTGTTCCAGATTATTTATTGTATCTACAAGCTAACGGTGCATACATCCTTACGCGTTCCACGTACAAGGTTCTCTAAATGGACAAGCATTGTTTGCCAGCGAGTCGTGTAGTTAGTGTTGCTCAATGCACTCGTATCTCTAAAAGAGATAATTTGAATATCGAAGTTGTCGCGGATAAAACTTAAAGCTTGAGGCACGAATTGGGAGAAAAATAATGCTAAAAATTAAAGAACGTTCGAGAAAAATAATAAAACATAAAATTAATAAAATTATTATCAATATAAATATCTATTAGGGTTTAATTGCGCCTATAAATTTAAAAGATACGATGTTTTGAATGAAAAAAATTGAAAAGTTTAAAAATTTTTTTTAAATCTAGAAAGTGAAAAATATATCAATTGTTCAATGTAAGACGAAGAATCGACGTCTAGCCTGCTATCCTGCGGATCACGGTTGATCACGGTTCGCGGTCTTTTAAGCGACAGGTGCAAACATTCAGGGACCAGCGCAAAAAAGGAAGCCGGTAATTGTAAGCCCCGGGTAGAAAAACCAGTTTGCTAAAAACAACCCGGGCCTGATCGAGTCTCGTTGCGGGGCTACCGAATAACCAACGGGTGTCGGTGTGGCAACGTACGTGTGAAGAGACGTACGTGAGAAGCGGAGCTTTTGGAAATCCGTTTTAAAATATCTCTTAAAATCTTCATCCTGCGGAAATTATGCGTCTCACCCCACCCAAGAGAAAGTCACAAATATATTCCAAGATATTTTGAACAAAACAAGAAACAAGGAATTATATTAAAATAATTATATCGCTTTAAATTATTTTTATGCCGTCATCAGAAAGAAACATACACCTTCTTAACATTTTTATCGTTTCTATGTCCGATGACATAGAAACCGATGACAACTAAATATAAATTAATGAGGCTATGGCAGTAATGTTATTTGACGGTGAAAATCTGTTCTTTAAAGTATGACGTTTCATGTTTAACTCTAACGTAATAAACGCACGCAGTCATTCTGCCACGTTGAAAAGGCGCCAGAGAGTCGCAATACTTGAACTTATGCAGGAAATACTTTCTATGAATGAACTTTCTCACCGCTCATCGAGGGAAAGATACAGTTAAATGCCAAAACGAGCCGAAGTGGGACCCGCAAAAACAAAAATTGCAACTTACTGCGTAAAGCTACCTTCTTCACTCCATTATCAAATTACAAGGAAACTATCGTTTCAAAAATATAACGATTTATCAAACGGCTTTTGCAGTTTAAAAAAATTTTGCAGCTTTGAATTCTTGGAAGATTAGAAATTTTCAAAAGATTTCCAGAGAATCGCACTTTTTAACCTTTAAAACAAGACAAGCTGAACAGACTTGAGATTTTAAAAATTAGAGAACTAAAAAAACGGGGCACGTTATAGTTTCGAAATTTTTCAGCTAAACAATTTCGTGAACTTTTAAACCATAAACTCTTTACACAACATAAATAAAAAACTTCAAAAATCGAAGATCAATAAGGTACATTTACGCAAATTTGCGTTGTGTTTACATTCATGCCTAACAACGATTTCGTGAAAAAAAAAAAAAAGAACAATGCCTTATTCGATGCTATAAATAAGCAACCTCGCTGGAATTCCAACGAGTTCTCTGGCCGCGACAGGTGAAGCCACGTGTTGTTCGTGCAATCGCAGTCGCCTAGATTTAAAGACTTCGTTATTCAATTCAAATACGCTAACGGACTAACGGGCCAGCTCGCAGGATTTCCGCCTCAGCGCGACGTTCGTTATTGTGTTCTAGAAGAATCGGGTTAGGAAAGGTCAGGTAGAGACGATCGCCCTGGAGCCGGTCTGCGAGAAGATTCGCAGTTAAGTATCATTTTTCAGAGAAAGTATGGAAAGTACATGTGTTTCTATAGTATACATCAAAAAGTAGAAAGCATTATACATACATTACAAAGAGTTATACATCCTGAAAAATGATAAATACACTTCAAAATAAAATACAAGATCAATCTGAATATTTTAGACACTGGTGTGTCAAATATGATATATCATATTTTATGATATACTATGATACAGCATTAGATAAAAATAATAGTATTTTTATGCTTGCGTTAATTTCTATGGCGTTTGTATCTACAATACAAAATAAAATTTATTTGAAATATCTAGAATCTAGATCACACATTCAATTGATTCTCGAATAGATTCTTACAGATAATAGAGGAACACGCGTGTCGAGTATTCAAAATCGCTCTGCAAGACCACCGTCTTCGCGATTTGCGAGTCACTCGTTATTTTGCCAGCATATGATGAATGTAAGCCTTAAGGATTACGGGAGCCCTATATTAAATACGGGACCTCCATTGAAAGAAGATATATTTAGACCGGACCCTTGAAAGATCCTGTCTCGTCTCGGGACGCATCGCGCGGAGCGAATGCATTTTGAATGCGCAGGATTTGTTCCTTGCAGATTATATAAGGATGAAAGATTCGTAAAAATATATACATATATAAATGCACAGGATACCGTTGTATCGATGTATTAACCTCGCGACAAGAGTGCACGCAATCGAACGTGATTCAAAGAAGTAAATCGATTTGTCAAGTTCATCATTAAAGATAATTACGCATGTAAATGTAGTAAGAAAAGCGCATGTTTTATGATTTCAAATAATGTAATTTAAGTAAGATTAATGATGAAGTCTTTTGATGTAAGAAAGATAAAGATAATCTTCAATACAACTAACTTTTTAAATTATTCCCTTAATTCTGTTAAAGAGTTTCTAGATTTTTTTCATCATTTTATTCTTTGATATAATTAATAATTAAAATTATTTTGCTACAATATTATAAATACAAATATTAAGATTTAATATGTGTATTTTTTTAATTGATTGAATTTAATACATATAATCATTGTAGAAACTTACCTCGCATCTAGATGTATCAAGTATCTCGACCTCCGTCGTGACATTGTCAATAGTGACGCTGTGTCGGTAGAGAAAATCTGCAACAAATAGAATTAACATATTTAATCAATTATAATAAAATCTTTAACTCGATTATTATCGCTTTAAGATCTTGTATAACTCGCGAGATAAATAAAAAAACATGATTTTTCTTGATCGATGTCATTTGGATGATACTCTTCGATCTCTTTGGAAAAGCAACATTTTCCCAAGGATAGAAAACGCGGCTAATACGCGAAAGTGCCGTAGCAGTTGGTAACGACAATTCCAATTAGTTACGCTTACGCTCGCTGCTATGTCATTACGATCACTGACGATGACACGTGGCTTTCGCTGAAAATTTGTGATCAAAAAGATTTGGATAGTCGTATATTAAGACTTGAATTTTTAGATCGCTACACACTCAAATTATTCATATATGTCATTCTTAAAAAATTCCATAGTGTTCATTATATATTTGAAATTTTGTAGGGTTACCACAAAAAATGAATTTTAAAATTCTCTGACTTTTCCAGGTTTTCCAGATAAAACTGGGAAATTTCTATGAGAGAGAGAGAGAGAGAGAGAGAGAGAGAGATTAGTATAAAATATGTAAAAAATTTAACATTATAAAATATATAAAAAATTTTAATCCTTGATTTAGAATCAAGGATTGTAAGAAAACTAGCTTATATTATTAAAAACGCAAAAGTAACATAATAAAATTTTAGGGGCAAATTCAAACCAACAAAAAATAAATTAGTATTAGAAAAAAGAACGCAGTTATGACAAAAAGTGACAATCAAATAAAATTGCTAAATAAAATATAAATTAAAAATTTTTTTTTTTTAAATCGTTTAAAGTGCACGAGTTTTGAACGTATTTTGACTATAAGCGCCAGATATATTTAAAAAATTATAACAATTATTTGGAATAAGAGCAGTTTAAGAGAATTGTGAGCAAAGTTCAAAATTCCGGTCACTTTTATATTTTTCTCTGACTTTTCCCGATTTTCCCGGTTTTTTTTCCAGATTTGTGGCAACCCTGTAATTTAAATAATCATATTTATATTATGAATTTCTGGGACTTCCGAACCGTGGATTTTTAATTTCTAGAATTTTACACACACATATTTTAATATTTAAATTTTGAATCTCAATAATATTTATTGTATCTTAGATTTTTGAATGTTGAAATTTACGCCTTCGGTAGAACAAAGAAAAAAGGAGAGCTCATATTTCTCGGAGCTGATTAAAGCTTGAGGAGCACGTGCACTTAAGGAGAAGCAGAAGAGAAGACGCGGAAGCACATCAAACATAATAGCCTTACAGGGTTAAGCACAATAAATAAGCGATAAATAAACTTATAAACATCTCGCAGTGTCGGTAGCGTAGAGCTGAAGGGGCGCAGGAATAGGCAAATAAAGATGTTCATTATATTAGCGGTTGTTACGCTCGAAAAAGTTTTATTGTCGGACAATGTTAATAGAGAAACGATTTGATCATGCGTTGCGACAGAAAATTCATTGCATCCTCCTGTACACGAGAAATATCGGCGTGTAGAAAAAGAGCTTCCAAGACTGCGAGACGCAATTTGAACTCTGCATACAAGACGCAAAAATTCTTTCTATGCTTATAGAAAAAAATCGATCTAGCTAAGCGATCTAGATAAACGGAGATAACTATAAGGATTGAAGGATGTTTAACGAATGGAATTATTTCATAGATAAGACGGACGTATGCGCAAGTGTCTAGAAATCTAATTGTAGTCCCATCTAAATACAGGAACAATTTGCATATCAGACGTTATGGAAAGTTAAATCTTTGATGAGAAACTTTGATAAAAGTACAAGATTTAATTTCTAAGAAATCGAAAGTATGAAGAGGTACAATAAAAGCGATAAGTTAACAAAAAAAAGGGGATTAACCGTGACACACTTTCGTCGCAACTGGAAATGTAACTGTCACCGATCGCGCGGATTCGGCTTTTGCCAGAGATCTCATCCATCTCCGGTACATATGATCTATTGTCGATCTATCGAAGAAACGGGATACACGATGTAATCTTCTCCGCGCACGGACAAAACGATTCCCATCCGCGCACGCGCACGAGAGAATCGACAATACAACGAGATTCGCTTTCTAAATCATTGCCTGGATTTATTCCATGCAAGGAGAGATTTGCATTGTTAATCGAGATCAAAATAATAGCAAGTACACTGCATCGTGGCAAGAGATGAAAAGGACCGATTATCTTCCAGAGTCCCGTAAAACAACGACGCCGCGCTCGTGTACGAATGCCTTGTAATCGAAATTGCCGGTAAAGAGATCATCCTCGTTCTTCCTTCGAGAGATCAAATTTAAATCGTGCAGTGGAAACCAATATAAAGTGGCTATTTCAAAAGTACCATGGCTTGCATGTTTACATGTCTAAATTTACGAGAAAAAAAAAGACAGATTTTTTGTAAAATTTCAAGAGAAATTCAGAGAGTGGAGACAGTTAGATCCTTATAAACTCTCACATTTCTGTGAATTCTTCTGCCTTTATATATATAATTAGATACTTCTGCTTTTGATTATATACTTCTGCTTTTGATTATATACATTAATAATTCTATATTTTCAAATTTTTTAAATTTATTTCTTACAATATTTACTTCTACATTAAAAAAAAATTAATTTTAAAATTATTTAATGTAATTAATTATTATCCAATTACATATAATTATCATCTATCTTATTATCATTCAAAATATAATAAAAATTTGAAAATGACTTTTTTATCAATCACATTTTCCAAATAATCTTTAAATTTACAAAATAAATTAATTTTTATTAATACGCTAAAAGAATTTTTTCGCGTTTCGTTCACCTACGCAAACCAGCTGAAGGAAATCAATGGCCCCGCTTTCACCGTTTGAGGGCGTTTTCTTCGGAAAAGTGATTCTCCAACGATCGGGAACGAAAGTATGGCGATAACCCGCACACGAGTCGCACGAAGTGTCGACGCATTTTCAATTCGTTTCACACAAGATGTACCGAAAGAGAGGGAAGCAAAAAAGCAAGAGAAAGAGATGAGATAGAGAGAAAGAGAATGACTGTTGCATATGATTGCTCCGAATGCTATCTTGAGTTAGCAAATTCCTTACGAAAAAAAAAAAAAAATTCTTAACAAACAAAATTGAAGACTCAATATTTCAATTTTCATAAATATAAAACTCCTATTATTAAAATCCTAAAATTTTATACTATTACTATCAAGAAATTTTGCACGATATCTAAAAAATGTAACAAAAAGTAACAAACGGAAAGATACTTTTTTTGATGAAGTCAACCAAAGTTTTTGTCCAATATTCGTTTATACATATTTCTATAGAAATTATTTTATACAAAGCAGTCTGTATAATATCTTCAGACCCCTTACATGTCTACGTCGGAGTTTTTTATCTATCATTATTCTTATCATTTTTTATCGATCCTCGATGGATAGTAATCAGTTCCGTAGCGTCCACAGCGTCATCTTTGAGAATCGATTGAGCGATTATCCCCCTTTTTGATCGAGGGGGAACATATAGATTATCCGCTTCCTGGTTACATTCAAGAATGATTATCCATCATTTTCCCAGGAAATTAATTAATATCGATGGTAGGAGAGAGCACTCGCGACGGCACCCTTCCACTCTCGACCGGCATTATCGATCGCAACATTATAGATCGATTGGGATCAAGATTGATTCTGAGTGCCAGTTATGTACGAGAGAAATTCGATAAATCGATGATTGCACTATTGTATCGGGAAGCTTTCCGTACATTATATTAATGTGAATGCACTTGTAAAGAAAGTAAGGAGAAACTTTGCACTGCGTGCAAATTGACTTATAAATTTTCTTGTAAATCTTCATTCCGAGAACTTTTATGTATTTTAGGATGCTACATTTTCCCAAACTTAATTCAGACAAGTATAATTAATCATCCAATTTTAATATTTAAAAAAAAGATAGACCAACACAAACATCTGATGTGGTGATTCTTAACCACTCTTGTGTCTTAGATTAACGTAGAAAAAGTTAAATCCTTTTCCAAAAAGGATACGTAATCTTAAATTGAGGATAAAATCCATTCAGGCAGTTTTATCTGCAATTTATTCTAATCAACTATAAATTTATGTATTTTACATAATTATATTTGCTTCAAGCACATCAGTTATCTTGGCGATAATGTCCCTACAGGTATCGGGATTGCGATAAAATGGCGTGGTACTCGCCGGTGAGGATGTACAGCCGGCTCGGCCATAGAGGTGTTACAAAAATATGAGCGACCGGCCGGTTCAGGGTTAAGGGGACAATACTTCACGGTGAATTTTTCCAAGCGGCTCGGATATCCGCGAAACTCGCCGTCATAGCTTATACGTCCGCGGGCGTGCACGGCAATTATTACGGCGAAGTAGCCTGCATGAGTTATGGGAGAGATCTGCATTCTGCAGACCCTCCCTATAGGCTCTATTTCATATCGAGTGTTTAAATCTCCGCCCTCCGCACGGATCCAGCGGTGTCTGTTGCGGTCTCTCTTTCTCTTTCTCTGTATCTTTCTCCCTCTATACGCTGCTACCCTACCCCCTTATCTCGTGTATTTCTGTGATCGCTAGAATGCCCTCGGGACATCACTCGCGAGGCGCCATGATTAAGATTTTTCATTGGTACCCTTGAATTAGAGTCCGGTTTCGAACGCGAGAATATTTCACAGCGGATTTTTCCGTCGCGGTCCCCGCTGGAACACGCGAGAGGCCACCGATCAAGATTTAGATTCGCGTTTTGTACTACGGGGTGAGTGCACGGCCCCCCGCCCCCAGGAGATAAGTCGATAGCAAGCGAGAAAGGAACTTAGATATGAACTGGACATTTATCCAGAATATGACGTCGAGAAATTAGCAACGAATGAACGCAATCATTCACGCTTCGCATTGGCAATTATCTTGAAGAAAAAAAAAGGGTAGGGAAGAGAGAGAGAGAGAGAGAGAGAGAGAGAGAGAGAGAGAGAGAAACACTTACCACTGGTCGAGCTGTACTCGCCGATGTATCGCCTCGTCAAGTACCGCACAACCACGGCTGCAACAGAAAGAGGAAAAAGAAATTGATTAACTTCAAAAAGGATCTCGCGAATAATTGTAGTGAGTCTGATGATACATCAGTGGAATCGTAATTACAAGTAATAATGTAAGAAGACGTATTTTCGTTCTCTCTAGCTAGACGGACGCGCGCGCCTATATGCGCCTATATGCGCCTATATGCGCCTATATGCGCAGGTGTTGAAACGCCATTAACTTATTTTCAATGTTAATAAAGAAACTATAAATATTCGTGAGGAACGAGTTTTCCTGTGGGTTGCCGATAAATTTCTTGCGTCATAAATTCCGTTTCGTTGCGGCGCGAAAGGCGGCTTAAGATTCAACATACTGACGACGTTCCTGGCATCGTCGTCGTCGTTGTCGTCGTTCAAACCTCGCAAGACTTATTGTAGTAGAGTACATAGATTCATACTCGTAGATATACACTGTTTATAAATCTATCGTCGTAGTTCAACCCAACGATAACGACGACGACGGAGGGAGGGAAGAGGAAATATCACGAATGGAAAAAGAGGAGAAGAGAGGAGAGGTAAAGACACGAGCAGGAACAGAATATAGAACTTCATTCGTGAGCTATTTGCTGAGATGAGAGATACGAGTGCATATCTTCGAAATATTTCCGTGCAGCTGGACGACGATTTATTTTCAACGGCGATTCAACGTACGCTTGCGGAAAGTCGATGGACCGGCAAGAACTAACTGATCCCTCGACTGATCCTTTCAAAGAGAAGGAAACTAATTTATTAAAAGATATAAATTATAATTATATATATATATATATATATATAGGGTACCAATTATGCAAGTATTTTATATTGTGTTTTATTTTAAAAATTAAACATCCGATAGATAAATACACCTATAATATCTATGAAAAACAAATTTACGTAGTCTGTTTTTATTTCACACATAAAAACCAAATTATTAGTACAATAAAAGATTGACACGTTGCTATATTAATTAGCATTAGTTATTAGCATTTTGCATTTGAATATATATATATAACTAATTTAAAAATAAGAAATTTTATAAAAACTGTATTTTCGATAGTCATCATACAAAGACAGCGGATTATTATATTGTGCCAAGCAATTCGGTAATTGAGTGAAGACTCATTCTCCCTTGGAGATGACTGTCGTCAAATCGAGGCGATGTCACGCGTAATCCTATACAGGCCGCGCGAACCGAAGTAATTGATGTGGACACGAGAATGTTACTCGTAACGTCTAATAGTCCCAAGAGTAATCTGTGCCAAGCACCCGGGTCTGATGAAAACACGCTCTTCACTGCACTCAAATCCAAACGCGAGGGAAACCTGACACTCGTGCCAGATACTAAGTATTTATAATAAAATTCTTATCTTTCGTAGAATCAACTTGGGAATGCCGACAATATAGTGGTCCTCACGCAGCCATCAAACGATAAAAAATAACTAATAGCTCATGCAGAATGCAAAATATTGCTGTAGATAACATCTATCAAAAATATTCCAACGTAAAGTTAAAAAATCGAAAAAATAGGTCAACCACAATGGTACTATTAAATGAAATTTCAAAAAACCTCACTCACACAAAATCTTCAAAGGGGTAATATTTTAACCGATAGCGCGCAAGTGATCACGTTCAAAATTAAGAAAAAAAAAAGAAAGGCGAAAACTAGGCAGGTAGAAGAACGAATAAGAAGAAAAGAATGAAGAAGAAGAAGAATAAGAGAGAAGCCGATTAAGTCACCTGCGGAGAATTATGTGTAATGTGGAAGATGCAACGGTACGAGCAAAACGCAACCATTCGCGGTGCCATTCGCCGACGTGCGATGGTTGCCAGCGTGGGGTTCTATAGATAGATCGTTGGAGGATAAGCCGCTTGGTGGACGTAAGAAAATAGTAATTACGGCCACGATCGCTTTGAATCGAAGGGGGGAGGGGGGGGGAGGGACGAGACGGAGACATATGACAAAAAAAAGATCGGGATGGTGCGGCGCGTTGATCAACCAAGTGCATCCTCTTGTCTCGTTGAAATTTTCCGTCTATCCCAAATATTCAACACTATCTTCTATTGAAACAAATTTCACTCATGGCATTTTATATTTCGTATAGAAAGTATCAAATTTTCTGTATATAATTTTTTTAGTTGCTCCAAACAGTCCAAACACAATTTTTAACAATAACAATTTTATACAATAAAAAATTAATTAATTTATTACACTAGTAAAAGGAAGAAAAGTAATGTACAATAATATTTGCTGAAAGACACTTTTCTTTAAAAAAAAAAAATAACGGGATATATGATTTTTTTAAAAACGAAAAATTAAATTGTAATTTGATCATATGATGGAGAAAATTCTATATTAAAAATATTAAAAAAAGGTAATAAAAATGTCAAATTGATATCTCGCAGAAAAGAAACCCGTTGAAGCGCGACTTCCACGAGCTACTATTCTGTCCGCTTTTATTGTGACACGGCAATAAAGCAAGTCGTTTAGACCAAATGAATTTATGAACACGTCTGGGCTTGGATAGCGGACCTCCAATTGCCTCTTCAATAAGCGTTAACGCAGATAAATGGCTATAGATAACAATCTTGCATTTCTCGCGTGACCATAATTCTTTTCATGATTCCGCACTGTCAGTAGTTTTTGCGAAATCTACTTGTCGTTGAAGAATTCTGTTATTTACTTGGAAATATCCAATTCAAATGCTATACATTACTGGTATCTATTTTTGCGAGAATTAAGCTCCTATTACATAGTCAACTCTTAAACGCCTTTTCGGTATATCTGGCTTTTATTTCCCAATGTTTTTTCAATACTTTTTCCATTGCTTAACTTTTTTTAATAAAACTTTTTTTTAAATTAATAAAGATACATTTGCTTGCTACTGTTATATTTCTTAATATCGTAACATTTCAATTGAAAACAAATTGTTTACAATATGTAAATTTTAACACATTTAAAGAGTTGTAGGAAATCTAGCCTATATTATTAAAAACAATGCAAAAAAGGCTTAGTAGCATACGAAAATTTTGAGTGCAAATTCGAACCAATAAAAAATAAATTAGTATTGAAAAAAAGAATGCAGTTACGAAAAAGGGCGATCCAATAAAGATACTGAATAAAATATAAATTTTAATTATTTTATTAAAATCGTTTAAAGTGTTTTGAACGTATTTCACTATAAACATCAGATATATTAAAAAATTATAATAATTATCTAGAATAAGAGCAGTTTAAGGAAATTGTGAACAAATTTCAAAATTCCAGATTTTTTTACATTTTCCCTTGACTTTTCCCGGTTTTCCATGTCTGTTGCAACCCTGGACGTGATATATCAGAAGTGTTCCTGTAGTGTGGCATATGAAGATTAATAGGTGAAAACAACTAAATTCCAAATTTCCAAAGAAAATTTTCGTTTCCTTTATTATAGAAGAGTTACGGTTATTTTATACGTGTACACGGGAGTATGTCAGGCGAAGGTGCGATAATGCGGAGGAAGAAATGTTACCGCATAAATTTGGAATTCAAAATCAAATACCGCGGGCAACAGAACGGATGTATCGGATGTCCAGATCTTACAACCTGCTGCTGCAACCGTGCAGGATTTTTTTCATGGCAATCCCCCTCCCCTCTCGGTCACGCGGAATGATATCCGATAACATCCACGGAGGTCCTTATTATACCCAGCGGGGTCTCACAAGAGACTTTTAAGGATTCGCTCCCGTCGAGATATCCCTCTTCCCATCGCCGCCGTCGCCGCGTGAGAATGCACCGTTTTTGCCGCAAAAAGTAGAACAGACGACATTGTCGCGTGTTTTACAGCAATCAAGATCGTGCATAGCAGTGAAACGTGCGAATGCAGAAGTAGCGAAACGCAATTAAATAAATATGTTCCCGAAAAAAAATGCAATAATCCTGACAAAACGGCAATTTGTGATATTCCGAGATATGACGATGTTGCCATCAGACAACACAACTTTCTATTCGAAGATGCGAAAAATTTCACGATTGAAGAATTTAAGGTATTCGAAATTACAATTGATATAACAACATCTTAAAAAGATATCTAGTTAACAGTGTTAGAAAGATGCAATTTCAAATATAACGACAACTCGACAATAGCCGTGTCCAAAAAAATGTTTATTTTATATCAAGTTTTCTTCGTTCAGATAGAATTATTCTTGTAGATCTGAGACCGGTATTCGTAATAAGATGTCATGAAACGATCACAGAGCCGTATATTAGCATCATAAAATATTACTTAAGATGGAGACTTTTTGAAAAATAAGACCCGACTATGAATATCAACTTAAAAATATAATTCAATCAGCACGAAGAAAGCTTCCGACAGTTGCAAAATAAATACATTTTACTCTGAACGTAGCCAATGAGAAGATGGTTTGTAGATGATTGGTTGATTCCGGTAACTTAATAATAATATGAAGATGCAAAATTGGTGGAAGAGCAAAGGGAGAGGAGAGTCATGTACGAGATCGGACGAGATCAGAATAAAACGAAGAGCGCGCCTTTATTAAGGTGGCCGGTCCTAGCGGTTATTAATAGGATTTATTCCGAGGTCGGCGAACCGCCTTATCGCCCGTTCGTTTGCTCGCTTTGTATGCGTCGCGCGACTGTCGGGTTAACTAATGCAACGTATTATTCCACGGGACTATACGTATCCATCTTAACGGCACTTTCATTCAATGCGTTGCGTCGGTGCGCTATTAAACAACGCGCAGAAATTACACGCTGCACGACGACGCGATATTAGTATCGTCCATCATAATGAACGTCCTTCCGACGTGATTCAATATTTCACGACATTGCGCCATAATCGATCTGCGCATCTTTTTTCGCCGTTTCATTCGTCACCGAATGGACCGAATGGATATCGTTTCCGACGCGATGTGTTCCAATCACATCATGTTCTCATATAGGAAATCAACATTGCTTTCGCAGAGATGTATTTTCCGTTGTCCGTTTTAATTTCGATTCGATTTAATTTCGCACGCAAGGTCAACGCGCAAAACCTTTCTCTTCGTAGATCACAAAACAATGGCAAAGCGACACACACACATCGCACGCACAATTTGATTAGAATTTCTTGCAATCTCAAGCAAATAAATTTCGTACTAAATTAATCCTTCGTCTGAAAAAATCCTAGATCTTTTTTGGCACAAGTGAAATTTTACTTAAATTTCTCTGAAATAAAAGAGGGCACTAAAAATATCTTGTTATAGTAATGGGAGTTCTTTTTTGCAAACCTAAAACAGTAAAAAAACTTGAACTCGATAAAACTCAGATTGCAGACGAAGAGTTAACTTATTGTTAGTAATTAGAATTAATTTAGTTAATTATACTTATACAACAGAATTAATTCAGTTGAGTTAATCGTGATTTCTTTATTAGAATTTTGTGACTTTGATAATAGTGTTGATGAAAATAAATGGAATAATTTTTACACGAGAATGAAGCAAAATGAAAAGAGAGAAAGAAAGATTCACCTGATTTACCGACTCTGGGGCCGCCGAGGACGACCACCTTGATCCTGTTTACGTTTGTCATCAGCTGCGTGGGCTAAGTGTCATTCGGGCTGATTTGGCATCACACATTGCCTCCGCAGCGAATGCACCAATTACATCACTTTGCACTTTACCGCCGTACTCATACTCTCATTCACTCGCGCGCACAAAAAGGGCTGATGTCCTTCTCGAACACACGTGACACTCGCAACACTCTTACGAAATTAATTACTGTAACGAACAGTCAATCATCTGCTCGAGTCATCATTGCTCAATTTCGTAGCGGTATAATTATCAATCGTTAATTAATCTCTCTGGTGCGCTTGATTAAATTCTCTTTCGTTTACACACAAAAGAGAAAGGAAGAGATCGCAAAGAAAACGGTACGGATCTTATTCTAGTGTTTCAGAAGAATTATGTAGAATGAATAGAGAATTGATAATTATGGCGCAGTGTTGAGGCACAAGAACATTATTTCTAAAAAGAAACAGCGAAAACCCTTCTCCTCTCGCTCTCGTTCTTCGCCTCGATCAGGTATTTAATCGGCGGTTATCTATTAATCATCAGCTGAAGTCGTCACTGCTTAGATATGGAGCTATTAATGGCAGCGTTAATTAGAACCTTCCCTGCTAATTCCCAGCGACTCGGAGGAAACCGTGGCGACGATCGACGAACAGGCAGCCGATATTGGTTCCATGTGTCGTTTTCTACCTGGTGAACGAGCGTAACCGCGATTACGAGTCCCCGCCTGGCATGTCGAATGCGCGATTCTTCCTTCGCGCGGGAAGACGATAGCGCCTCGATAAAGCCGCTCGCGTTGAGTGATACAGCCCCCTTTTCCAGCCGCGCGACGACACGCCGATCTTTTGCACAACTCTTGCACGACTCACCGCGAAGCTCCGAATCGAGCGCGATCGAGCTCCTTTCTCAAGATGACAGCCGCGATTACAATCTCGCGTCCTTCGTCAAGAAATCACAATGTGCCCTCTCGTCGAGCACACGAGTTTATTAACAGCAACGACCGCCGCGCCGTGTTATCTTATCACGATTTCTCCTTTTCTCCTTGAAGATGACAAATTTCACGTGACGCGGTTTGTTTGTTTTCCTCTCGTTCTTTTCTCTCTCCACCAGTAAGACTGTCAGTCTCTCTCGGATAATTTCTGTACTCTGATAATCTTTGTTCTCCAGCTATTGTTAAATGATTGTACGTATTAATCATTCCCTTTAATAAATCGTTCCCTTTGCTTGTCTCTTATCCGAACGACTAGTACCACTTACGATATTTAGTTTTACAAGCCAAGGATTTCAGCTGATCCGCACTCTCTCTTTCTGTTTTTTTTTGTTTTCTCATCAAGTGTCAATGCATTATTTAGCGTTGTTAATTAATTTTACTCCAGCGTCTCTTTATCGTATAAAAATATGAAGAAAGCGATTCCTCTTTGATTTCCTCTAAATTCTTGCGTTCTTCCTTTCCGATCCTTACACCGAAGAACATCGAACTCGATAGTACAATCTGCACGATTCAGAATTACGGAGTCAGTCTCCTCGCACCTTCGAAAGCAAGGGTGGTTTCCGAACGAGCCTGGTTCGCTCGTCCGCTCGTTCGCTCACTCGTCCCGCAGCGGCCGACGCTGTGCTGCGAATAACAACACAAGCAGCGATTCAAGAAATGCCGTCTCTCTGGTTCCATTTATAACGGGTCGTCGGCCTTCCTCCGCGTCTTCTAGCTTGGCGCCGCCGACACGTCGGCGATTACGAAAAAAGGACAGGCACGCACGCACGTATGCACGCATACTGATGCACACTCGCTTATCGCTCGCGCGCGAAGACGACGAGCAGACGACGGCAGACGACGACGACCGCGAGAAAAGTAGGATGCATTCATCCCCCGCAGCGACACGCAACTTTTTGTTTTGCTGTTTTCCCTTTATTTATTTATTTTTTTTTTTTGTTTTTTCTTCAACACCGTGAACTAATTTTAATATTTCGAGAGAAGTGGCGGGTTTAATTTTGAATGAAAGATTAAGTCATTTCGGAGCATAATTGGCGCCATAAAATATTGGAGCATTTTAATTTTCTCCGCCTACGTTAAGTAAAAACTCTTGCAAAGAAAACTGTTGTAAAAATAACAGGTAAAAATTTACGATTTTGCAATTATAGTATTTTTAATCGATTCCGTTGGCGTGGCAAGAAATCTCCAGATACGCTACGTTACGTAATTAGAATAAAATATCTGAGCAATAATTAATATGATAAACAAACAAATAGTATAATGGGAAAGCAACTGAGAGGGAAACGAGAAAGCAATCAACGTAGCAGGGAAATACTTAATGGAGAAACACAATGACGAAGTAGTAAATATATAACGCGCGACGGAAAATGTAACAAATGTAACACAGAGAAATAAAACAAGTTTTTTTAAATTCATTGATTAATCACAGTAACATTATACGAAAATGCAACTTTCGTAAAAGCATTGGCGCATAATGCGATTGATGAATTAAAAAAATAATACGCGAGGTGATAAAACACGCGTAAAAAATCCGCCAACTTTTTGCGCACTGAAATTCGCAAGTCGTCACTCGTCTCTAATTCTCGCCTCTACTACGCTTTAAATGATGCTAGATTAGATAACGCGTCCCGTATCACGTATTAAACTTCACTATCTTTCAGGGCGCATTGCGACGATATTATTCACGAGAAATTCTTTTAATGTGACCTTATCGCGAACGTCACAATGTTGAACAACAAAGCATGACCGTAAATTGCGACACGTATTAAATTAAATAAAATGTGATTGAAATAAAATCATAATTTAGATCATATAGTTTTGAAATAATAACCTATCTTTTATAATTATCTACCTTAATTATCTATTTAATAACAAATTCTTAATCATATCCATTATATTATATAACAGACTTCCATTACACGGACACTAATAACAGAAACGCGGTCAAAGTAAAGTCAAGAATGAATGAGTCACATAAATAAATTTTCATTCAAAAATCCAGCAAACGCAAGAACGATTTTGCAAAATACGTGATTATGACACGTTTAACCGATATAAACATTTATTGATTGTGATATAGTATATTTCTGAACAAATACTAATTCAGCGTTTTCAAAAGAACAACAAATGTGAAATCATCGATAATACGATAAAAATCAGCCATAAGTACATTTTGAAAAATGTACTCTACTATAAAATAATGTACGTGCTAAAAAAATTGCTCTTGCAAGATTATCTTGTACCGCATCCTTCAAAATAAACCAAATCGAATGGAGTAATTTTTAAATGTATCAAATCAAATTTAATCAAATCTCTTGTGTTATATCTCGAATAATGTTAAACGGAGAAAAATTATATTTATTAAATAAAATGACATGACCAAGAATAAAATCTTGAGTAATTGATTCGATCGAATATTTCGCAGTCACACGATTGATTAGATTCTTTACTTTTGTTTTTATCCACCTACTTAAATTTTGGCATGTGTGTCACAAATGTTTCTGCTCATCGTCTGCGTAAGTGAGAAATCAACTCGTTGCTCGCTATAGAGGAGCGTAATCGGAAACCAAGGTATCGGTTTCTTCGCACGTAGCAAGTCTAAGACGTGTAAATACTAGATGCGCAGATGCGCCACTTGTTTATTTAACAGGATCGATTTTCTTCGGAGAATTCTTGTGCGATATGCCATACGACGATTTTATTTTCGCGCGTCTTTCGAAAATTCGACCAATCTGCTTCAATCCTTGAAATTGGTTGACAAAAATTGTAATCAAGTAAATTGTACGTATATCAGTTTTCTGTATTACAGCAAAAACGACAATCGGTTAAGAATTAATCGGTGAAAATTAATCACGGTGAGAATTAATCAACGCTGGAAGAATCGATAATTGCGTTATTCATGTCGAAATATACGCACAAGCGATTTCAATTAACGTACACGAGGTTCCTGTATAAATTAATTCTGTCGATTAACAGCGATCGCGAGTCGCGTTAATCGCATCTATGAAGGCCGATGACCCGTGGATTAAATAATACATTCCTCCATTTTCCACCAAGATATTTCAGCGAATTGCACGCCGGCGCATATCCGAGATTAATTAAGTCACGGTTACGCGCATTAATAAGGAAATTAACTTTTATAATTAACTTTAGAGATCAATTGATGACCTTTAAGCCCTGACAAAGGCGAACCAAAGTCTCTTGATGAATCTTTCTAGGAAGAATAATTACCTGATATATCCTAACAGTTACACTTGCACAATTACGATTGGAGCTTGGCAGTTAGAATTCAGCAATCAAAAATCGATTAAGACTCGCCGGTCACAGCTCGGTATCGCTGTGGTACGTCAATCCCCGGCGGTAAATGTTTAGAAACCCGAGAACGGCACTGAAAGCTTAAACTCTTCTATAATGCATTGAGCACCACTCCGCGATTATTTCAAGAACACGTCTCGATACTCGAGGATTCGTGTATCCATCCACAACTTGACGGTCAGAGATCGCACTTGGCAAATTCGACAATGATTATTGCCGAGAAATGCGTGATTCTTGAAACACGTAAAGAACGTGAACTCCAAAGAGTCCAGATGTGTAATTTTCTGGAGTAGTATCGCGTTCGCGAATTTCGGACGGTCGCACCGCACAGCGTGGCACTTGACGTGAGGAGAACGAACGCGAGAGAGAGAGAGAGGGGGGGGAGGGAGGGAAAGAATAAAAACACGCGGCACACACTCGCAAG